TTTAGGGTTTAGGGTTTAGGGTTTAGGGTTTCGAGTTGAGGGCTTAGTTTAGGGTTTTAGGGTTTAGGGTTCAGGGATTCGAGTTGAGGGCTTAGCTTAGGGTTTGGGGTTTGGGGATTAGGGTTTTAGAGTTTAGGATTTAGGGTTTAGGGTGTCGTACCCAAAGTGTCCATGTACCGTATGTGCTTTGGACCTAAAGTGCCGAAAAAGGGACTACTGTAAGACCAAGTACATATCATTAACCCTCACTTAGGGGTATACAGGTAGTTTGACAATGGATCTGGAAGGACTCTCGAGGACGTGAGGTACTGCCTGGTCCGCGTGACATGGGGATTTTGGGGGAGCGGACAGTACAGTACGACGCCCTAAACCCTAAACCCTAAACCCTAAACTAAACCCTAAACCCTAAACTAGGCCCTAAACCCCCGAAGCCCGAAACCGCGGTATCGACCAGGTTTGGACCGCTAGGCTTCGTAACAAACACCATCAAGATCGTACAGTATCGTACCTTAAACTGAAGCCGATGCCCTAACCCTAAACCCTAAACCCTAAACCCTAAACCCTAAACCCTAAACCCTAACCCTAAAGTGCCATGAACTTCAGCAACAAGTTGCGATCTTCGCGCTTCATCCTCACTCTCCAGGCCCTGGTCACTGATCCTCTCTCTTCGCAGTATGACTAGACCACTATGATTACCATGACGATTATGACTACTAATAATAAGAATACCAACAACAGCAAAACAACAAAACCATCATAATAATAATAGCATGAACAAGAATAAAGCAGAGCGAGTGGTCGTCGTAATAACAAGACTAAAAAACCAATATTTTTACGATGGATTGTGAAACCCCGATACTCTACACCGCAAACCCTAACACCCTAAAGTCTAAACCCCAAAGCCCCAAAACCCTAGAACCCTAAACCCCCAAAACCCTAAACCCGAGACCCTAAACCCTAAACCCTTAACCCTAAACCCCGGTGCTGCAGAGCCGCAATCTCGGAGACAAGAAGAATCCCCAAGATCCTGGGAAGGCGGGGATGCCCCAAACAAGCGCGGTTTAGGGTTTAGGGTTTAGGGGTTTAGGGTTTAGGGTCTAGGGGTTGAGGGTTTAGGGGTTTAGGGTTTAGGGGTTGAGGGTTTAGGGGTTTAGGCGTTTAGGGGTCTAGGGGTTTAGGGTTTAGGGATTTAGGGTTTAGGGTTTAGGGAATCTTAGTTGGAGAT